AGGGAAGTAATTAGTGTTAAATGAGGTCTTAAGGGTGGGGCCTGATCCTGTAGGATTACCATCATTAGTATCTTTAGGAAAAACACCTGATCACTCTTGCTTACCTGTGCTCACTGGACTCTCTCTCCTTCCCTCTCTTGCCTTCCCCAAATGTGAGTACGCAGTGAGAGGTGACATCTGCAAGGAAGAGGGTTCCCACCAGAACCCAACCATGTTGCACCCTGTTCTCAGGCTCCCAGCCTCCAGAATTGTGAGAAAATACATTTCTGTGTTTAGGTCCCCCCAGCTTGTGGTTTTTTTGTTATGGCAGCCTGAGCAGCCTGATACACAGGGCTTGGCAAACTCCTTCTGTAAAGAACAGGATGATAAATATTTTAGGCTTTATGGGCATATGGTCTCCGTTGTAACGATTCAACTCTGTCATTGTAGTGGGAAAGCAGCCATCGACATATGCAAATGAATGGGGTGGCTGTGTTCCAATAAAACTTTACTTATAAAAACAGGCAGCGGGCCATTGAGCTGTAGTCTGTATGACCCCTAGCTTATCATAACAACAATCACTAATTTTGTTCAGAAATTAAAATTAGGACAAGATATGGTGGGGAAAGCTCCACGGGTGGGTTCTCTGCTCCAGGTGGTCCAGCTGAGCTGGAGGATCTAGTTCAAGATGGTGCGCTCCCATGGCTGCCAATATGTGCTGGGCTGGTTGGGAGCCCAGCTGGGGCTGTGGGCTGGAGGCCCCGTTCCTCTCCTTGTGCGCCTCTCCACAGACTGCTTGGGCTTCCTTATAGCATGGAGCTCTGTTCCAAGCTCTTAGCATCCTGAGAGCATGAGGAGAAACTGTCACCGTTGATGCCCCGACCTTCAAAGTCACACTGTGTCACTTCTGCTACATTCACCAGCTAGCCCACCTCTCAGCAGGAGGAGTGTCCATGTCACCTTATAGGAGAGCCCCCAGAATGGGGCACCCTGATGCAGTATGTGTGTGTAGGGGGGTAAACACCGGCACAGGCCGGAAGAACGGGTGACTGGATTGTAGCTCAGTTCTCTGAAGGAAACAACAGGCTTCTGGGGAGATAAAGGGAGGGTGTTTTCTCCACAGGGAAACAGAGGGCTTTCAGGAGCTGAAACCAGAACACTTCCCAGTCCTGGTCACGGGAACTGGGAGAAGGGAACGGCAGTACAATGCCTAGAGACCAGAAAGGTTATGCAGTGGTTTTCAACCTTCTGGCCCTTTAAATACAGTTCCTCATGTTGTGACCCAACCATAAAATTATTTTCATTGCTACTTCATAACTGTAGTGTTGTTACTGTTATGAATTGTAATGTAAATATCTGATATGCAGGATGGTCTTAGGTGACCCCTGTGAAAGGTTGGTTCGACCGCCAAAGGGGTCGTGACCCACAGGTTGAGAACCGCTGCGTTACAGGCTGGGAAACCAGACCACCTGGGCTTCCTACTTGGTCATTATTTTCCTTTGGCCAGACACTTCACTCAGGTAGGCTCCACGTTGGTCTTTACAAAAGGAGGGTGTATAAGCCCAGGTCACCCAAGGAGTGCCCGTGGGATCACCAATGTGAGATACTCATCCCAGAGCCCAATGCACACAGCCATGAACTATACTGCACGGTGGTATAGTTTCTTGTTTTTCTCCCTAGTTTTTGTTTTGAAATTGCTGGGCGGTACTATGTTTATAGTCTTCGAGATTTTCCTCCAAAATGAAATCAATGCCTCCAGCCCCAGTTTATGGGAGAAGGATTTCCAAATTGCACAAAAGGAATGCCTCTAATATCTGCATTCTAGACAGTAGAGTCTGTCATTGCTGGAGCGAATCTGACCAGCCTGGGAGAGGAGGGAGGGTCAGTGGTGGGGGAGGGGGTGTATTGGAATTGCCTAGGGAAGGGTATGCATTACCCAGAGGTAGAGGGTGCTGACCAGCAATTGCTTGGAGCCAGTAAGATCCCAGCTGCAACTTACCGCTCCTGTGAGGAAGGGCTGCTGAATCAGCAAAAATCAGGTTGGCAATGAAGAGGAAGAAAGTGTTGAGTGTACAAGAGAAACAGCAATTTTATGTCAACAGTGTTTGGGATGGAGCAGGCTGAAAGTGGGGTGGGGGGCATGTTGGAACCCATGACCTTTGCTGGGGTGGGGGTGGGGGCTGGTCTCGAAATAACACGACTTCCTATTTCTGCAGTGCTTACCATGCACTGGGCACCCAGCTACTTGAATTCTCACAAGCAACCTTATGGTAACTACCATTATGCCCAACTTATGGATGAGAGCACTGAGCTCAGAGATATTAAATCACTGCCCAAAGCCACACAACTGGCCAGCCCTGGAAACAGGATTTGAACCTGAATCTTGGGAGGAAAATCGGCAGCCCTTTTTGCCTCCATATTTACTATATGTAGTTTTTCATTTTCACCAAACAGCCCTGAGATGCTCGTTCATACCCATTTAGATTGACAAAATAAAATAAATGGAAACCTAATAGGAAGTCTGATAAGACCAAGTGCTGGCCAGGAGGCAGCGAACCGGAAGCGCAGGTGCACTGCAGGGGGAGAAGGAAAAATCGCCTGGAGAGCAACTTCTACTGTGTCCAAGATGTGCCCCACCCAACAATTCCACCCCCAGGCATTCAGAGAAGCACTGGGGACAGGGCTAGAAGGTGCTTTGAATCTTTGCAACTGCAAATCACAGAGCTAAATTGAAAACTCCCTTAAATGACCTCCCCAGGGGGGGTGGCCGAGGAGGTGACTGCCCTCCAGGCTGGTGGTACTTTAGGGAGGGGGTTTGGGTGCCCAGGGCAAGACAAGAAGTCAGAGCTTGAACTTTGAGGGTCGGAGAAGGGGCTAGTTTTCCACTGAGGGCCCATTTACCCAAATGTGGAGAAGGTTGAGCAGAGCCCCTGGCTAATTGGAGGTTTCAATTTGCGCCCCTTCTAAATCTCAGCCTCCACTGCCTGGTTTGCAATTCCTGGCTCAGCGCAATCGGAGACACCTGCCCGCACTCCCATTAGCCCGGACCCCCGCGCAGGGCCCCCGCCCCCCTTCTAGCACTGGCTGCTGCATTTGCCACACGCGCTCCCTGAGAGCTGGGAGCACGGGCTCTGTCTGTGGACTTATGGTCCAGGAAATGCATTTTAAATTGGTCCCAGGATACCCAGATCCAGGAATCAGCTACCATCTCTTGGGGGTGAGGGTGGGGGTGGGAGTATGTGTGGAGAGAGACCTAGTACCGCGGAGACTCCACTTTACTCCCAAAGCGCGACCACTCCCGGAGTTGGGGGCTACCTGTTGTCTAGGGCGTAGGGGATTGGGGTACCTTACTCCAAGTGTGTGCGTGTGGCAGGACTTCCCTTTCATTTATGGGGAGGGGACATGTTTTCCGAGGCGATCGCCCCCGCTGCCTCCCACATTGGAAACTAAACTGCTTGTAAGGAAAAGGACGGATTATTTATCATGGGGAAAAACACCTGTGGTTTGCCAAGAGCCTCTCTAGTCAAGCCAGGGGCAGGCGTCGCAGAGAGGAGCCAGGAGGGATAGGCGAAGAGCGGGAGTGGGGAGCGGAAAGATTCGGGGCGTCTCCAGACCGCCCCGGGCCTGCTCGGCCGGGCTTTACCCGCGGCTCCCGGGAGGGGTAGAAAGCGCTCTGGGTGCTGGGCGCCTTCCCATTACGCAGTTCCTGTCCCTTTAAATCCAAGTGCCGGGAAAGGTGGGGGCTGGGGTGCCCTGGCTGGACCCCTCTTTCCAGGCGGACCCAGGCAAGGGGGGAAGCCTAGCCGGCGGGAGCGCC